AATGGGGGTAATAAGAGGCGTGAATAACTAAGTAGCTCTGAGGAGATCCCGTCTAGGCTCCTAGCACAAGGTCTGTGGTCTGTCATGCAAGGTGTTAGCACTATGCAAAACCTCTTTCTGGGACACAGGCTCCCCTGTGGCTGGCATCGGGGCCCAGCCTTTTCCTTCTCCAGTGAGAGACTCCTGGAGAAATCCCAGTTCCTTGGGGCTCACTGTCTGACAGTTGGTATCTCTTCACTTTCTCAGCCTGGTAGCTGAAAGTTTCCCCGTGTCCCACCCGGTCAACAGCTGCTCAGACCCAAGTAAACACACAGAGGCTTATATTAATTAAAACTGCATGGCCATTAGCTCAAACTCACTACTGACTAGCTCTTACACTTAAACTCAGCCCATTTCTGTTAATCTATATGTTGCGATGTGTTCTGTGGCTTTACCTGTATGCCATTACATGCTGCTCCCTGGACAGTGGGCTGGTGTCTCCTGACTCAACCTTCTTCTTCCCAGAATTCTCCTTGTCTGCTTATCCCATCTATACTTCCTGCCTGGCTACTGGCCATTCAGTGTTTTATTAAACCAGCGTACAAAAGCATTATTCCACAGCACAGCCTCTCTATAACCTTGGACTTGTTGGCCAGCCAGCCAGAGTCCCAGGTCCAGTGAGAGACCCTGTCACAAACCTTTTGGGTGAGGCTGGCAAGATGGCTCAGCAAGCAAAGGTCCCTGCCACCAAGCCTGACAACCTGAGTTTGATCCCTAGGACCCACATGTTGAAAAGAGAGATTCCTCAAAATTGTCCTCTGACTTCCACATACTCGTAAATAAATCAAAAACATAATAAAAAATCTTCTGGGCATGTAACGGCTTCTTTGGACTGCCACACATCACATGTCACATCGAAAACACCAGAAATGTGTTAGCTAGAAGTTCTAGAAGGCAGAAGCCCTCTACAGGCTTCTGACATGTTCCAGCTTCAGTATCTTACAAAATTATATTCTCTAACTATTAGTGGTAAATGAGCATGCAACTGACTTATAGGGATTGATTTTATGTCAAAATTTTTCCTGAATTCTATTATGAATTTTGATAACTTAGTTGTAGATGATATGGGTATTCTCTGCAATCATAGTTTCTTCCATGAGGTGACAGAAATGACCACTGGCAGCCCCTGCTTACATTGTCTTTGCAAATAACAATTTCAAAGACATGGGATATTTATTTGAACAGCTCAATGGTAGAGTACTTACTTAGCATGCAGGAAGCCCTGGGTCCAACCCCCCAGTACTGGGCAGGGGGTGGGGATACTTGATGTTCATGAGGAAGGGGCAGGATTATTTTGATTGACCACCTAGACTGACAGCCCCAGGAGGTACAGGAGGGACAGTCTTAAACCTTCCTATATGTTGCCCTTTGGACTTGAGGCCACTCAGCTAATCCACATTGACCAAGAGTCTTCCTGTCATTGTATCAACACACACTCTTTTTCTGTGCAGAAAGAAAAGACAAGGCATAGAAGAAACACGAAGGTGTGGGCCTGTGAAAGAGGTGAGTGATGAGAGTGAGCCCTAAGCCAGGACAGCCTGAGGCCACTGAAGCACAGCCCATCTCAAATCCACAGATACAAACCCAAGACATGTGAGATCCCGTTATAGAGACCTTTACTAAGAAAACTCAAAGAAGAATAATTGGAGACAAAGTTCTATTCATGACAGAAAGACTTGGTACCACGAGTATGTCACTTTTCTCTAACTTGGCACATGCACTCTGGGTTTTTTCAACCAAAGTCCTAGTAAGTGCGTGCGTGCATGCGTGTGCTGTATATGTGTGTTTGTGTGCTTATTCACGTATGTATGCAGGCACATGTGGCCACGAAGGCCTGAGGACAATGTTGAGTATCACCTTTAACCCCCTTCACCTTTTATTGAGGCAGGGTCTCTCCCTGGCCTGGCACTCATCAAGTAGCCAGGCTGGATCCCAAGATCCACCTGTCTCTACCCTCTCAGAATTGGGATTATATGCACCCACTTTCCCCCTATGGGTTCTGGGGCTTAAACTCAGGTATTCATGCTTGCAGAACAAACATTTTATCAATGGAGCAATCTCCCCAGCTTAGAAATATTTTAATATTTTATTTTAAAAGAACTCAACAAACCAATTCAAATTGATTTTTGAGATGAGGTCTTTCTATGTTGCTAGGCTGGCTTTAAACTTATGAACTCGGGTGATTCTCTTTCTTCAGCCTCTTAAGTAGGTGAGGCTACAGGTGTGTGCCACTATGCCTGGCTCTGTCCAAAATGCACATGGAAGAGCAAAGGGCCAGGAAATGTCATATCATTTCTAAACAACAGCAACAACAAAACCCCAGACACATCCTCTTCTAGATCTCAAGATTCGTGGAACCACAGTGATTAAGAATGAGCAATATAAACGCCCACCACTCAACAACAACAACAACAACAGATGAATAACCCAATTAAACCGTGGGCAAGGGGCTTAAAAAAAAATCTTCCTTCAAAAGAAATGTACAAATCAAGGAGCTGCTGCAAGAGGCTGGCACTACAAACCATCGCAGAGTGTAAATCAAACCGCAAGGAAATAATTGGGAGTCTACTGAGAAAAACAAAAGCAAAAGCAGAGATACAGTTGGCCGGGATTTAGGGAAAGGTAAACCCTTGAACATTCCTGCTGTGAATGTGAAATGGTGGAGCCTCCTTGAAGATCCAATGGCTCTTCCTCAAAAAGTTAAACAGTGAATGACCATGTTTCCAGCAAGCCCATTTCAGGTCTGTGCCCCAAAGGATGGGAGCAGGAAATTCACATGTTTATGCACCCATGTTCTTTTTTTTTTTTTTTTCCAGACAGGGTTTCTCTGTGTAGCTTTGGAGCCTGTCCTGGAACTCACTCTGTAGATCAGGGTGGCTTTCAGAGATCCACCTGCCTCTGCCTTCCAAGTGCTGGGATTAAAGGTGTGCGCCACCACCACCGCCCAGCTCACCTGTGATCTTAACAGCATCATTCACTAGGGCCCAAAGGCAGAAGCAATCCAAACAATACTGATGGATGACAAATAAAACAAATTACATATGTACTTACAATGCAATACTATTCAAAAGGGAGCGAAATTCTTACACATGCTGTAATATAGAAATACCATGAAAACATTAGGAAAGCCATTGCAAGTGAAGCCAGATATAAGACAAATATTTTATGATTTCATTTATGGGAAGTATCTGAATGGGCTAAATGCACAAAGATAGTAAGCATATCAGAGCGGTCATTCCCAGTGGCTGGGAAAGGGACAGGGATAAGGGAGAGTTTTAGTTTGAAATGAGGAAAGGTTTCTGGAGGAGGAGGAGGAGGCGACGGGTGTTGTTGCTAAACAATATGGATCATTCAATGCCTCTGAACTTTACACTGAAAATTGTTAATGTTGAATTGTATGATCAGTAACAAGCTATAAAATAGCTGGAGTCCCTGGAGGAGGAGGAGGAGGAGGAGGAGGAGGAGGAGGAGGAGGAGGAGGAGGAGGAGGAGGAGGAGGAAGATGACGAGGAGGATGACGAGGAGGAGGAGGAGGAGGAGGAGGAGGAGGAGCAGGAGATAGCTAGATAGGATGTGTGGGCCATTTCTTCAGCCCTTTCTACAAGAAAATAACGTTCTTGCAGCTGGGGAGATGTCTCAGCCAGTAAACTACTTGCCTGAGTCCGATCCCCAGCACCCACGTAAAACGCTGGGCATGGTCACATGTAACATCTAATCCCAGAGTGGGGAGGCTGAGACAAGAGCATCCCTAGGACTTGCTGGCCAGCCATTGGTGAGTCACAGGTCCCAGTGAGGGACACTGTCTCAAAATACTATGTGGACTACCTCTGAGAAACTATATATACCTGAGGTTGACCTGACTACCATGAACACCTGCACATGCATATGCACCCACACACATGTACACACACACACACACACACACACACACACACAGAGGTACATGCACACCTGTGAAAACACTTGTACACACAAATGAAATTAAATTTAAAAAGTAAGAGACACTCCTCGGTCTCCTTAGTCCCGGCTGACCTTCTGGAAGGTGGGGAAAGGGGACCACAGGCAGGAGTCAGTTATCCAGCTGACTCCAGAACTAGGAAATCACATTTCAGGACTGCAAACATCTAATTCTCTGGCCCAGGCTCCCAATGCAAGCAAAGGCTGGGAGAAGGACGGCACAGTGGGGACAGGGCAGAAACCAGGAAGCCTTCTCCCCCCGCTCCCCCCCACCCCCGGCAGTGCCTGCCTGTGCACAAACAGCAGTCCTGGAGACAGCAGGGTGTCCAGACGGATCAGCCCCACCCCACCCCTCAGCTCAAAGTGTCCCAGGCAGAGGCCAAGGGGCTCCTGTGCAAAGTCAGGCTGGGGAAGGGCAGAGTGTAGGAGATGAGCCAGGAGACATGGCAAGGACAGAGTCCAGATTCCGGGGTGTGACTTGCCAAGGTTTCTGGGCTCTGCTTGATGGCCCTTAGAGTTTTCAGAAGATGAATCTTTCCGCAACTGTCTAAGAGTGTCAGAGAGTCATCTTGCCTGAGGGTCCCCAATCCAGCCACTTACAGTAAAAGATTGTTCAACTACCAGAGACCAACCCCAGATTTCTCTACTCCTGTCTGCAAATAGATGCTAGAGTCGGGTAGTCTCTAGAGGGGACACTCCCACTGATGTCCCCTCTGAGAGCAATGGTAAGGCAAGTCTCCTGGAGAGCACTGTCCAGCATCCTCTGGTTGATGAAGGGACTCCTATTCTTCAGCAGATACTAAGAAGTTCCTTGTCACAATGGACTACTCTGTGAGTGACAGCAGCATGCCCTTCCCTCCTCTCTCCATCACCAAATGCACCTGGATTTTATCACAGTCTCCTCTTCATCTCCCTGTTAAATGCTGCATGTATTTGCATTTGTTATTAGTAACTAAAGGGTAGATTAAGAGCAACAGTCATACATGACCAAGAAGACTACATACCAGCTAACTCTGTAGAAAACGTGGGTGCTGAGCAGTCAAGGAGTGGTGTTTGGGAGTCATCTATTTCTTCCTGTATTGTAGTGGGTTGATTTGTGCCTCTTCCCAAAGATACATGCAAGCCTGAGTTCCTGGTACCTGTGAACACGAACTTCTGTGGAAAAAAGGATGCTTGTAGTTACGGTTACATGAAGACTCTTGGAATGAGATTACCGTGGGCCAACCCAGTGGCACTGAAGTTCAGTGGCAACATCTGTGAAGAAAGAGCTGACAAAGACTAGGAGAGACACGGAAGGGGTGGCCTGTGAAGGGGGAGGAGAGGTGGGAGTGAGGCCCTAAGCCAGGACAGCAAGGACAGCCTGGGGCCACCAAAGCCAGAACAGCTCAGAAAGAATGTTCCAGAAGCCTGCAGAGGGTGTGTGGTTCTGCCCTAAGTTAGGACAGCAAGGACAGCCTGGGGTCACCAAAGCCAGAACAGGTCAGAAAGAATGTTCCAGAAGCCTGCAGAGGGTGTGTGGTTCTGCCGACTCTCAGATTTAGAGGTCCTGCCTCAGTCCAGAACATAGAGCTGACACACTTGTGGTGTTTGTGGCATGACATGTGATGCATGGCAGCCCAAAGAAGCTGTTACATGTCCAGAAGGTTTTAAAAATTACTTCGTTACGTTTTTATTTTTTATTTATTTATTTAGTGTGTGTGCATGTGTGTGTGTGTGTGTGTGTGTGTGTGTGTGTGTGTGTGTGTGTGTGTGTACTTGCCACAGCACATGTGTGGAGGTCAGAGGACAACTTTCAGGAGTCGGTTCTCTCCTTCCACCATAGAGGTCCTAGGGATCAAACTCAGGTTTCAGGCTTGGTGGCAGGTATTTTTGCCCTCTGAGTCATCTTGCCAAGCCACCCAAAAGTTTTAAGATTGTCCTTCCTCATCCCTGGTGGGACTGTTATTTCAATCTGTATTTCAGACCTAGATAATCAATCAAAATAACCCTTCCTCATGAACATGATGTGTCCCACCCCGAGTGGGGGCTTCAGGTATGCTAAGCAAGTGCGGTACCCTCCATCCCAGCGATGGTCAAGGGATGGTCACATGACTCCTGGAGTCATTCTGTGTGTGGCCGCAGGGAAATAATATTCCATGTCTTTGAAATTGTTATCTGCAAAGACAATGTAAGCAGGGGATACCTGTGGCCATTTCTATCACCCTATGGAAACAGCTGACCTGAGGAAAAAGCCAGCAGGGAAAGGAAAACCTAGGCTGAAAAGGAAAAGGCAGGTCCTGATACATCCCACACTCTACAAACAGGTATGCCTAGCGACGTGTTTCAGACAGTAATTCAGGCTTAAATCACTGAGACAGCAACTCTGTCATCCCAGAGAGCAGATGCAGCAGTAGCTAAATTTCAAGTCTGATAACAACAGTCTCCTGAAGATGAAGGTGACTAGGAAGCGTGGAGAGTTGTTCCTGGTCAACCGTGCTACAGGCAGAGCAAGGTATAGGCAACCCCTCTGCTAGGCAAAGGAGCCCCAGCAGCCACACCACTGAGGAAAGCCACACTGTCCAACAGCAAGCCTGATGCTTACCGATTAGCTGCCACACAGAGGACCTAACTCACACTTCCAGTCCTAAGTCCTGCTGACCATCGACCCCACAGACCAAAGGCAATGATGCCACGAATGGGGGATCCTGGAGAGAAGAGGCAGCGGGGGGCGTGGTACCCTCTGCTAGCTGACTGTGTAGCTCTGTAAGAAGACTTAAAGCCAAGTGATGCTCTGCTTGAAAGTCAGAAACAGCCAAGTGTGGTGGCTCTTGCCTATAATCCCAGCACTTGGGAGGTGGAGGCAGGAGGTTCAATGTCATCCTCAGCTACAAAGCCAAGTTCCAAGCCACATAGACTGTAGGAGACCCTGTTTCAAAAAAAGAAAAAAAAGAAAAGAAAAAAAAGAAAAGAAAAGAAAGAAAGAAAGAAAACAAAACTGTTGGAAATATGCTATAGGGGTGTCACAATGTGACACATTGGGCTTTTTGACAGTGACAAGGTTCTGAAAAAGTACACGTCATTTCTTTTTCCACTCGAAAAGCAACCTCCACATGTGTGCATGGGCTGCTAAGAGGGAAATGACTCGACTCGTAGAAGTAAGATGAACATCAGATGTGGCACATGGCTATGCTCCCGCACTCAGGAGGCAGAGGATGGAGGATCAACAGTTCAAGGCCACACCTGAGCTGCATAGGGATTCTCCTCTCTCTCTCTCCCTCTCCTTCTCCCTCTCCCTCTCTCTCTCTCTCTCTCTCTCTCTCTCTCTCTCTCTCTCTCTCTCTCTCTCTCTCTCTCACACACACACACACACACACACACACACACAGAGAGAGAGAGAGAGAGAGAGAGAGAGAGAGAGAGAGAGAGAGAGAGGGAGGGAGGGAGGGAGGGAGAGAGAGAGAGAGAGAGAGAGAGAGAGAGAGAGAGAGAGAGAGAGAGAGCACAATGGGTGGAGGGAGGTTCCAAGAGAGATGAGGCAGCCCTGGGCAGGAACACACCTCTCCCTAGCGTAAGAAAGATAAAAGGAGGAAAGGAATTGAGGTGATTGTCAGTGTGGGCCTTGGTACCTTAAATTCCCTACAGCTTCAGTGTTGTTCAGGTATGTCAATGGTCAGGATCTATCCAGTGCCAATGACAATGAGGTTTGAGAAAGGGTTGAGGAAAAAAGAACAATCAGGAGAAGATGGCGATGCCTAGTCACAGGAACTGTCTAGGGACAACTGGAAAGATTTCAGGCAGCCTTGGGGACCAGTCAGTTAATAGTTCAAAGAACCCATGTTAAACCACGTTCCTCCAGCATAGTTAGCACCCCCGGGGCAGGGGCAGGGCAGAGGCATTCCAGATGCGGGGCTCAATCGGATGGGTTTGGATAGGAGGGTAAGTAGACAAAAGTGGGTAGAGGGGCTGCAGGATAGAGAGAAAAGTGACCACCACAGTCATGTGAAGTCCTCGCCTTCATTTAACAGTTATCACTGGTTGGAGTGCTTAGCTGAGTGGCCACGGTCATCCTGTATATGAGACAGATTCTGTCTTCAACAAGGAAAGTGACTAGCTGCAGACGAGGTAATAATAGGAAGAGCTGGGATGAGAAGGATCAGACAGACATGGTTCAAATTCAGCCCCACTATTTTTCTTTCTGAGAGTAACCTTTTTTTCTACAAAATATGAAAAAATTCATGCTTATCAGGGTGAAATGAGAAAACTAACATACGCATCTCTGCAAAACTCTGTTAGGTCTAAGGCTCACAATTCAATCCCTTAACTTACGAGTTTAGTAGGTGACCAGTGTGTAGTCGGCACTCAGTAATACATTTCCTTCATTCTGTGTTAACATTATTCATCAAAGCACATTCTCTGGCCCTGAGCTAAGCTCTCCTGAGATGTTTGTGGTGTTCATTTCCAGTCTTAGTTCTGGACAATAACAAGAACAGAACACTGGTATATTCATCCCTTCACATTGTTTCACTGAGCCAAGTTAAGCTACTTCTTGATGGACTGATTTCAGGTAAGTATGGAGAGTGAACTCTCTCATTTCTGCCCATCCCACTACCAGAAAAGTGAGCTGGGATGCATCAGCTTTCTGTTCCTGTAACAAATACTTGAGGTAAATTCATCCAAAAAGAGGAAAGATTTATTTTGGCTCACAGTTTCAAACGTTTCAGAGGGGTTGCCTTTGGACCTGAGCAGGGGCAGAACATCATGTCTGGAGTATATGACAGAAATAGCACTCACCTCATAGTGGATGGGAAATAAGGATGAGAGGAGTGATAAGCTCCAAATATTCCCTTCAAAGGAATGCCTTAAGTGACCTAACTGCCTCCCATCAGGCCCTACCTCTTCAAGCCTCCATCACCTCCCACTAGCACCACAGGCCCGTTGACCAAGCCTTTGACACATGGACCATTGGGGGACACTTCTATAACCAGAGCACCTTGCTTATTGAACCTTGTAGAGAATCCCTGGTGAGATGTGGAGAAGTTCCCCCCCCCACAACAGAGACAAAGACGGACCCCCAGGCAACAGAAGGATACCCTTTCTTCATCAGCCACCAAAGATCCAAGATCACAAAGGACAGTCTCTCTAGAGACAAGGGAATTAACTAAAAGATGTGGAAAAACAAACATACGTCAAACAGAGCGCAATGCCGCTGTTGCTGGGTACAGAGGGCAAGGCTGAACAACTGTGGACAGCCTGACCAGTTGATGGGAGGTAATCTCACTGGTGCTAGAGGCATTCACCTCAAATACTGGAGCCAAGAGCTACCCCTAGATTTTCTGAAGAAAAACACAGAGATAAAACAGGCCCCCAGCAGGCATGAAGCAGAACCCCTGTGAGATAACAGTTTCAAATTCAATTCTAAGGGACACATCTATGGGGACATGGAACAGTGACCACCAACTGTTCTCAATTTCGATTCTCCCTCTCTTTCCTTTAGAAGGAGGACCTCTACGATTTCTGTAAGCATCTTTAATCGGTACAGCAGGAGTCTACATTTCTCAGACTCTCCTGTGGTGCTCCGAGGAGCTGGCCAGTGGGATATGAGTGAACGGACGGTCCATCCTCTGAATTATATCATTGAGGAGGCTGTCAACCCCTATCCCCTCCCCCTCTTCCTACAGGCAGGAACAGAAGGAAGAGAAAGTGAGTGAACTTTGACTAAGAAGAACAGGGAGCCAGAAAGCAGAAGAAACGTGGGCTCCTGGACGGCTCTGTGGACCAGCATTGCTGCTCTCCCTTGCACTGACCACCTGCTTCTCAACCCTTAGGTGAAAGACAAATCATCTCCTCTGCCCTCTGAGAAAACCCATCTTAAGAACTTTTGGTTACAGCCTAGCCTATGTCTAGCTAATAATGTCTTTCCCCAAAGTACAGATAAAGTTAGAGCTGAACAGTGTTTACTGAAAGCCTACCACGTGCCAGGCATTGTTCTAAACACTTGTCATGCGCTATCTCGTTTAATCCACGCCTATCTCCTAGACCGGGCCTTTGTTCTGTTTTACAGAACAGGAGATGTGCGCCGGGAGATGCCGCACTTCAGCTGATGGCTCACCGTCATTGGACAACCAACCCTGAAGCCTAACCTGTGTGTCCTGGAGTGAGATGGTAGCCTCATTCACTGTGTTTCAGAGCATCTCTTCGTACAGGTCCACGCAGTCAAAAAGACGTGGTTCAGAGCCAGCAAGATGGTTCTGCAGGTAAAGGTACTTGCCAACCAAGCCCTACAGCTTGGTTCAATGCCCAGAACATTCACAAAGATGGAAGGAGAAAACCGACTCCACAAAGTTGTCCTCTGACCTTCACAGGACACTGTGACACATGCATGCACACATACAATGATTTAAATTAAAAAGCTTTTTTTTTTTTTTTTTAAAGAAGACAGGGTTCAATTTTCCAGAGACCCATGACTGGATGCTAACCATTACAAGTCAGTTAGTGTCTCTACAAGTCAGTTTTCTCCAAGAGAGCATGTGAGAAGAACCAAACTATTGGCTTCATGGAAGGATAAAGTGGATTTATGAATGTTGAAGAAAAGCTTTGAAAGCCATAAAGTGAGGCATGAGTGATAAACTGCCTTAAAGCAGGCTGGAAAATCCTTAAAACCCAAATAACAAAATGCACTCTATTTTTTTAAAATGTAAATACCATCTAGCAATTTGGCAGATACCCTAGAAAGGCTGTGAAATCTGTCAAGGAGAGGGGTACATTTGGCTTTGTACATCTGTCATCCTTAACTGAAGAAGGAAGATTTAATCGAAATTAACTGGAAGGGTTCAGACCTATGTACCTAGCGGGTGCTTGCATGTGTACGTGTGTGTGTGTGTGTGTGTGTGGTGTGTGTGTGTGACACACACACACACACCACACACACACACATCCTCAATAGAAAAGAATCCTTATCAGAAAGTCCAAGAACAGCATAAATCCGCCATACCCATGGGAACTTGGCAGGTGCAGAAGCAGGTGTGGCACAAAGAATTCAAAGGTTCCCAACTCAAGGAAGCTGGGGACTTCAGCTGCTCTGCTGACACAGATCTTTCAGATATGCCTGTGACATTCTCCAAATGTCCTTGTTTTCTCACATGTGTACATCACGCCAGGTCAAGAACCACCAGTTGACCTCCTGGAATTCCGTCCCCAAGCCAGAAGGAACAGCTGATGCTTTAAGTTTGTGATCACATGCATCACTATTGAAGGGATGTTCAAGGATGGCGCCTTTGGGACGGGATTGCAGCATATGGGCTCTGACCTCATCAGTGGGCTTTTGGGAAGTGGTGGAAGCTACATAAAATGGGGTCACTTTGGAGGAAGTGGGTATTTGGGAGGGGTGCTCAGGAGGGGCAATCTTGTCTTGTCTCTCTCTTTCTCTCTTTGCTTCCTGGCTGCTGTGAGTTGAGCTGCTTTCCTCTACCACATGCTTCAGCCATGCTGAAAGGTCTCACCTCATCCCGAAAATGGCCACGTCAAAGGACTTTGGTGAATGAAACCCCATAAAGTCCCTTATCTCAAGCATTCTGTCATAACAATGGAAAGCTAACACAAAAATCCCTCACCATAAGTATGTATAAGCCCAGTTTAGCTTTCAGTTAATTCCACCCTGCCTGTCTTTCTGCCTCAGTTTCCCCCGTTCCTCCTAGCAGAGGCTGCTTTCCCTCTGCTTCTCGCTCCTGACTTCAATTCCCCATCCTTTGGCGGGACTTAGCTGCTCTGAAAGTACAATGCTCCTCCCTCCCCTCTGTGTCCATCAACGCTGACATGCTGCTCCCTGCAGATGCAATCTCCACTTGCTCTCCTCCCCAGCACACCGGTGGTTTTTCCATCCATGCTCCTGAAGTTGGGTAGATAGATGATTGTCACCTCTAGGTTAATAACACAGAAAGGAAGAAAGACAGCAGACAGGCACGGACACTCTAGAGGAGAGGCTTCCCAAAGTCACAGGGTTCTGCCTCCTGCACTGGGCTACACACAGGTCTGAAGCATGCTGCCACAGTCACCTGAGCCAAGTCAGCCTTGGCTCCCCCAATGGGGACAGAAGCAAGCCGACTCTGAGTGTGAGTTGGTCTCACCTGCAGCCCTCAGTTCCTCAAAGGCAGACAGGGAGGGACCTCTGAGCCCTGTGGTTATCTGGCCAACAATCTCAGGTCTGTGTTGGACTGGACTGTCCTCCCCTCATGACATCCCTGAAGTCACCGTCATGAGCTGCATTCTCTCCTCCCTAGCAGGCTCTGGCCCCAAGCTGACAGACACCCCAAGTCAATGATTTCAGTTTCTTTTCCTTTGCCCTCACATGCTCTTGGGGTTCTCAACGACAGGAAGATGCCTTGAAAGGCCATCCCAGGAGGGAGGAGAAGCATTTCTACAACTCCTGGTCCCAGGTTTCAGGAGCAGAGACTGGACTTTCCAAGGGGAGGCCCAGATGGATTCCAGCAAAGAAACTGTTAATTGGTTTTGGCCTGCAGTTCCCTAGAGCAGTGTCCTTAAACCCTTGGGCTCCTCGGGCAGGGTGGGGAGGGGTGTGTGGATGTTGCCTAGGGCAGAGAACTATGTTGTGTTCCCTGCTGACTTACTGTTGGTTTGAGACGTCTGGACTAGAGTGACACACAATCCTTCCCTTTGTTTCCTTAGCCTTGCAGAATGAGCTTCCCTCTGAAAGGCATAAAGATCTCTTTTCTTCAGCTCACAGGAGCTTCTGGGGTTGCCTGCTGCCGCCGCCACTGCCACCGGTTTGTTCTGCCCAGCTCAGGCTCGGTCTACATGCCAGGGCCAGCCCCGGGCACCACTGCCTGCTACAGTTTACTCCTGCAGCCAATGCTTGCAAGGCCTGTACTGGGGTGGTGGCTTCCTTGGCAGGATGCCAGCCATGGCTCTTAAAGCCACAGAGTTGCTGGTGGCTGGAAGAACCCTCTAAGGCCAGTTCCCTTTACAGGAGTTTCTTGCCTTCCCTAGGCAGCATTAAGCAAGGACACGGCCACCATCACCTACGAGGATGAAAAATCCTTATGTAGCAGGGTAGCAGCCCCAGAAATTCTCATGCCACAGACCTCAGGGGCACGCACTGCACATTGAGGAGTTTCACAACTACCCTGGTGGTTCCAATATGAGCCAGACTCTGGGACTGCCGTCTGTACTGTCCAAATGTCAGACTGCACTGGGTCATTTGGGGTACAGGTGAGAATGCTGGTCCTGATCTGGGAGTCAGGCTCAGAGCTGCTGGCCCTGGGGCTGTGCTGAGTTGGGGGGTTGGGGGTGGGGGTGAAGCCTGGGTAAGTTGCTTTCTAGCATTCAGTGTGCTCCTCGCTCATCTGAGGCTTAGCTGACATAACAGGAACACAATGCTAGGTCAGTCTCTAGCACTTGGAAAATGCTTGGGAGATACTGGCAGGGCCTGCGATTTGTTTTTGTTGGCTTGTTTTTGTTTTTCTGGATGCCTCCTGCGAGGGAATAACAGGTTCTGCTCTCCCTCCCTTGCTTCAAAGCTATGAGGACTTCCCTTCAGACCCAGCATTAGTCCCAACCACGCAGGTTCTTCAGCAGATGGTCCCAGCCTGCCCTGCGGCTTCACCTTCCCTAGCTCTCTTGAGCCTCATACCCGCCCCAGCACAAACCACGTGCTAAAGCGCATGGCAAATCCTTTTGGTGCCAGGCTTGGCATGTCTCTTCCTGGGTCACTTTTCCAACTCTTTTTCCCCTGTCTGGTTAGCTTCTTCCCCTCCTGGGGGGGGGGGGGGCGGTGGCGATTGGCAAAGGTGTGCCTCACCCTTTGTTACGTTAAGACAGTGAGAAGGCACCATCTGTACTCCCCCACCAAAAAACAGACTCTCACTGGATACTGAATCAGCGGGCACCTGATCTTGGCCTTCTCAGTCTCTAGGACTGTGAGAAACAAATTTCTGCTGTTTACAAGCCACCCAGCTTGTGGTATTTTGTTCTAGCAACCTGAATACACAAAGACAAAGGCATTGTGCTGAGTGAAATGAGCCAGTGAAATGAGAAGGAGTCTATAATGCTACCTGTAATGAGGTACCTGGATCAGGCAAAAGTCACGGGACAAAGTAAACCAGTAGCTAGAAAGGGGTGGATGAGGAAAATGTAGAGTTAGCATTTAATGGGCACAGAGCGTCAGCCGGGGAGGATGAAAGGGTTCTGGAAGTGGCTGGTGGTGATGGTGGTAAAACACGATGGATGTACCTAATGCCACTGACTTGTACATTTGAAGCAGGTAAGCTGTCAACATATGAAAACATTTTATTAGATACCTAAAATTGTAAGAACACTCCTAACCTCTACCCCTCAGGAGAAGACAGTTTGCAAAAAGCAAATATCCAGGGCCTGAGGCATGCCCTTTCCATTTTTCTAGAGGCGTAATGATGAGATTCAGAACCCCAGAAAGCAAAACTGTGTGGTTGACCAGAGATGCAAAGAATGCCGAACATTTGCAGTTGGATTCTTTGGTGGATGCCATGTAGGCAAAAGTGCTAGGAGAGAGAAATAGCTTTACCCTCCGTGTCAGAATATGCTCTGCAAGAGAAGCGACTGCAAAGTCAAAAGAACAGAGAGGGGCAGTCAAGTTTGCCTCGAAGTCGCCCAGAAACAGACAGAAAAGCACTGAAATCTAGTAACAGCTGCACGCTCGCTGTTTAAAGGTCAGGTGTAGAAGGAAGGACTCAATAGATGGGAGAAATAGGAATTCAAGACTTGTTCTTCCCCTCTAAGGTGCTTCTCAACTCAATTAGATAGGAAGCTTCTAGAAGCAACGATCTCCGCCTATCGTGTTCTGGGCTGAAAGTTTGCTTCCCTCCAAATTCCCCTGTTGAAATTTTCACTGATCTTCAATGCAGTGGAATCTGGGGGAAGTACTTAGGGCTAGATGAGATCATGAGGGCGGGGCCCTTCTCTGAGTGTGTTAGTGCCTTTATAAGAGGAAATGCCAGAGAGCTTCCCTTCTCGGCCATATGAACACCATACAAACACCACTACCACCACCACCACCAATCCCAGCCAGCTGCCCACTATATACCTTGGTCTTCCTCTGTCTCCAGGCTTTCCCAACCAGCAGTCCATACCTCCAGTGACAGTGCGACCCTAAGACCAAAGCTGAGGGCAGGGCAGGGCTTCCTGTACCCGCCTGTAAACCTTCCTGCTTTCCCAGTGCCTGGTGGCACCTACCAGCCACTCTCCCCTACATGCTGTGCTCACTTTCCTCTGGGACTTGTAGAATGGCTAAGCAGCCTATCCCCAGTCCCGGGAATATATCAACTCTCGAGTCCCTTCTGATGTTAGAGCCAAGGAGATAATGGTTCCTGCTGGAAAAGGGTCTACCCGACGGGAATATATGTGTTTGTACAAGTGAGCTTGTGTATAAGGGACCCAGAGCTTGCCATTTTCAAAAGTTCACTTCTCAGCCACAAATAATGCCACCGTCACAGTAGCACTTCCTGTTTTTCACAAATTAGTCATAGTAAAAACAGAAGGAGGCAAGAGGCTGGTGGCTACTGAGCCTGGCTGCGGGGGAATGCTGAGTTCTGCCTGGTGGAGGGCGGGCAGAGACCCGAAGAGGCAGGGGGTAGCCAGCTTCCTTCTGCACCCGCTTCTGGTCCAGTGCCTCAGGATCAGCCTGCTTAGTGTATTTCCTGACCGATCTTTGCTCTCTGCTCTCTTTCCACACCTCTCCACACTCTCCGTGCCAGTCATCCCCAAACGGTGTTTCGCTTATATCATTTATTTGCTTAAGATCCTTCAGTGGCCTTTGTACTGACCACAGAGTCAAGTCTGAAGACTCAGCCAGCCCTTCCTCTAGGGACTCTGGCCATGCCTGCACAAACTCGCTTCACAGGACCAAGGCTAGGGTGAACCTCTTACAAAACTTAGGAGGGCGCCAAACAGTTCAGTAACCATAATATGCTAAGTTTTAAAAAGTCAAAGTTCATTAAAATAAAAAAAAAAAACAGCTCCATGGTGACCCAATAACAAAATTTTAACTATGGACAGAGGCGTCTCCACATTGCATGTCTGTTCCCTTCCACGACCCTCCTGGCTGGGCTAGCCTGGACTTCCTTCTCAGATAGTACAAACTCTTCTCACACTGCTCCCGACCCGTGCCTCTGCTCACACAGACCTTTCTATCTCTTTGCTCAATTCATTTCATAAACCTTCTTGCTGTTCTCTCATCTTTGCGTTTCTAGCTCATGTTGTCGTTTGAGGGCTTTCAAATTCTTTTGGAGGTAGCAGAAAGCGTTAGGGTGTAGCTCAGTAACAGAATAGACGATTAGCTTGCTAGAAGCCCTGGGCTTGCTGTGGAGTAAAAGGAGAGAGAGAGAGAGAGAGAGAGAGAGAGAGAGAGAGAGAGAGAGAGAGAGAGAGAGAGAGAGAATTGCTAGAAACAGCACATGTCAGGGCTGGGTATGTAGCTCACAGATGGAGTGCTTTCCTATCACACTTGAAGCCGGGATTTGATTCTCACTGCCACCTAAACTGGTGGCACACACATGTAATCCAACCACCGGAGAGACAGAGGCAGAAGGCGCAGAAGTTCAAGGCCATCCTTTGCTACGTGGCAAGCTTGAGGCCAGTAAGGCCTATATGGGATCTTGTCTCAAAATAAACGGACAAGCAGTACCAGATGCATACCTCCTGACTGAGGCCTGGCCTGGCCTCCCTGTGTGAAGTCACTTCCTGGGCTCTGTTTCCCTGACTGACCAGACCTCTCTTGTCCTGCTTCAGTTTCTGACAGAACCTACCGCCATCAGGTGCGTGTTCCCACTCCTTTCTAGCTGCCGTCCACCTCCCCAGCTGGGACCTGAGCCTCTGGAGAGAGTGGCTTTTCATCTGTGTTTTCATGGCAGAGTTCCAGAGTCTACAACAGAACCTGGTGTGTGACACAGCCTCAGGGAACCGCTGTCGAGTTGAATTTCTTCAAGCCAATCTTAGGTACAATCTCAATATAGAAAAGGCAAATGAAGGGCCAGGGAGATAGCCCAGCAGGTAATGGCACTGCCCCCAAGACTGGCAACCTGGGTTCGATCCCAGGATACCACATGGTGGAAAGAGAGAGTCTGCTCTCTACACTGGCACCCTGGCACATGTGTGCATACACACATATATGCACAAAACAATAAGCCAATGTAATTAAAATAGTTTAAAATAAAGTTCTTGGTGAGTACCAAATGATTTATATGCCCAAAGGTATTCGATTACTTAGGCTGTCAAAGGAAGAAATTTTGTTTGTTTGTTTGTTTGTGTTATATTTTGAGACAGGGTCTTGCTATGTAGCTGTTGGCTGGTCTGTACTTCACTATGTAGACTAGGCTAGCCTTGAAATGCCAGAGATCATCTTGCCCCTGTTTCATGAATGCTGCTATTAAAGATGTATGCCACTATACCTGGCCTCATTTTGGTTTGGCTGGATGTAAAAATATGAAAACTGATGCTGTGGAGACTTGTGGCCAGTAAGTGCCACTATTCGTTTTGAATTTTTGTTTTCTTTCATCTCTGTGTGTGTGTGTGTGTTCCTATGTGGGGCAGGGGGTACAGAGGACAGTCCCTTGAGTGTCATTCCTCAGGTGCCATCCACCTTATTTAGAAAGACAGGGTCTCTCAGCTGGGTGTGGTGAAGCACACTTGTAATCTCAGCACTTAGGGAGCAGAGGCAGGTGGATCTCTGTGAGTTCGAGATCAGCCTGGTCCACATAGTGAGTTCTAGACCAGCGAGGGTTGTAGAGTGAGACCCAGTCTCAAAAAACAAGAACAAAAGGAAGACAGGGTCTCTCACTGGTTTAGAACTCACTAGTCGGGCAAGACTGGCTCTCCAGCCAGCTCAGGGATCCGTCTGCCTCTTCCTCTCCAGTGCCGGGATTACAGACACATGCTACACCCAGCTTTTTATGTGGGTGCTGGAGATCCAAACTCAGACTCTCCTGCTTGCATAGTAAGTACTTTACCAATCAAGCTCTCTCCCCAGGCCCGTATTATTTTTTTTCAGTAGTTCTGTTGAAATATAACTCTTATATCATACAATTCACACATTGACGGTTTGGGAGTTTTCACAGTTACAACGTGCAACTGTCGATCTGGGCAGCTGAACCAAAATTTTCTTTCGTTTATGTAGCCAAAGAAAATGCAAATTCAGGGGATGGGGAGATGGTTTGGTAGGTAAAGTATCTGCTGCATAAGCGTGGGGACTGAGTTTAGAT